AACCCGCACCCCAAAAAGCAAGCCCTCCGAGGGCTGCTTCTCCTTCCCCCGCAAAAAAAAACGAGGCCTGGAGTTCCTCCTGTGCCCCCGCCCTTGCAAAACCGAGGCCTCGGTGCCTCCCTTCCCACCCCCGCCCTTCCCTGGTGCCTCCACCCCTGCCCAGCTCTCCTCCCCCACTGCTGCTCCTTGGGGTCCCCCCTTTCCACTGCTCCTTTCCTGCCAAACAGCCCCTTTCTCTGCTGCCCTTTTCTTCCCAGGGAGGCCCCAGGCTGGGCCCCCCCCCAGGAACCCCAGCCCCTCTGCCCACACGTCCTGTGGTCCATCTTCTCCCACCACGTGCCACCATCTTCCCCTGGTTCTGCATCCACCTGGTTCCCGAGCTCCTGGCTCCCCGTGCCTGCCCCAGGGCTTTCCCCTCTCCCACAAATCAAGCTGGTGGCTCGATTTCCATCCTTCCTGCCTCCCCTCCCACATCATCCCGGCTCCATTCTCACCCCCTGCTGCCACCCTCTGCCTGCCTCCTGTGACCCCACTCCTTGAACCCTCCTGCTCACCCCTCCTCTCTTTCATGATTCACACGTGGGAAATGCTGCAGCCTCCGGACTCTGCTGCCCCTCTCCAGCCCTGCAGGTGCTCAATCCCAGCTCCTTTCATCTCCTTATTCCTACAGTGACCTCCACACTTTGTCCCTTGTCTGGCTGGCTCCTGTGATGCCTTGGGCTTGATGGCCTTCCTGGTGTTTGTCCTTTGATTGCTGTTTTAATATCATTCTCATTTCTGTGATCACTTGCTTTATGATCCTCCCCTCCTTCAGATTCCTGGAATTCCTGTAAACGATTCACATTATTCCCATCCTCTTACTTTGCAGCCTTAACTTGTGCCATGGCACCTCTTGTTTAATTAACCCTCATGCTGGAGCAGCCTCACTCAGGAGCTTTCCCCTTGTTTAAGGTGGTGTAGGCTAAGGATATATATGATGTGCACATTTCCCTGTCTGGAACCTGCCCTGCCCTCTGCCCACGTGTGAAACGAGGTTGTTTGTGATGTGGCTCAAAATCTGGGCAGCAGAGGGTCCCCTCCTGGGGCAGGGGTTGTACCTCAGCACCCCTTGGGGCAGGGGCTGGGGGGCTTGAGCCCCTGCACCTGCAGACTGAGTTAGAAGACTTGATCTCTATGTGAGCAGATTAAAAAAACTTGCTGAGTTAACAGGGCAACACTGGACAGCAAAGTACTTCTAAAATGGAGGTAGAAGTTTTCCCTGTGCAAAACCATGAATTTGTTGATTGAGTGGCAGCCAAAGAGAGGGGTGCAGCCCTGAGGGGGCTCTGAGGCAGCCTTTTCCAGACAACTGCTTGGGAAGTGCTCGTGGGATTCCAGGCACCAGGAATCTAGTGCACACTCACATCATTTCTAGTCTTACATTTTATTGCAAGATTGGTCATTTTGTTGTGCTAAGACCTTCACTGGTGAAGGTACAAGCCCAGAATGGGCTCTAAAACATTTTAAAAAAACAAGCAAACAAAACAACCCTCACAGTTGAAGAAAACTTGGTAGTTTTGGCGTGAGGTGACCTAAAAGGCAACCAGGGTAATTATTAAACTAGGATAATGCCTTAAATGCCACTCTCCCTGTCTCTGCTTTGGAAGCCTGACTTCTCATAGCAGCACTTGTGTGTGCAGGTGAAACTGAAACCTGAAGCTCAGGTCCCTGTAGGCGTTAGATCATAGGATCCTGGAATGGTTTGGGTGGGAAGGGACCTCAAAGCTCATCCAGTCCCACCTCTGCATGGGCAGGGACACCTCCCAGCAGCCCAGGCTGCTCCAAGCCCCATCCAACCTGCCCTTCAGCACTGCCAGGGATGGGGCAGCCACAGCTTCCCTGGGCAACCTGGGCCAGGCTCTCCCCACCCTCACAGCCCAGAATTTATTCCAAATATCTCATTTCTTTTTACTTTTTCCAGCTGGAAACCCTTCCTCCTTGTCCCAAGCCCCTCCCCAGCTTTTCTGGAGCCCCTTCAGGCACTGGAAGGTGCTCTAAGGTCTCCCTGGAGCCTCCTCCTCTCCAGGCTGAACACCCCAACTCTCAGAGCTGCTCAGGGCACATCTGTGGGCCAGGGGTGTGGGGACATGGCCCAGCAGTGGGCAGGGCACAGGACCTGCTGGGCTGCAGCCCCTGCCCTCAGCCCATGGGAGGTTTCAGGCTGTGATTTCCTGGGTCTACGTGTTGTGTTTCTCACCTCAATGAGCATTTAAACCACACAACTTCCTTTACAGTCAGCAAGAAACTGCTGAGCTGGATCTGAGAAACAAAAACATAAATGGCCTGCAAAGAACAGTGTCATCAGAATCCACAGACTCAGGTAAGGCTTTCCCAGGTAATTAATGATGTTAATTAATAATGAAAAGCATCAGGACCTTGTGGCTCCCAGTGCAAGCAGCTTCCAGGGCTTGGGCTGAGAGCTGATGCTGCCTGCCTGCAATCCCTGCACCCCTGCCCATCTTCATGCTCAGAAGGAGGGAGATGGACAGACCATCCCTCAGCACCTTCATGGCTTGGCTTGTGGGTGGGGTTTTTTGCTTTAATTATCCTGGAGCTCGTTAGCAGTGGAGTTAACTTGGAGGGAACTGGTTCTGCCCCCAGAGGGGGACTCTGCCTGAGCTGGCTTGTCCATTTCCTCTTTGAGTGGCTGTTGAGACCAATGTTGAGAGCTATGTCATGCTCTGCACTCCAACATGGTGTTCATTGCTGCCATTTTGAGTGCCCTGATGTTCTGCTCCAGAGGTGGTGGTGGTGGGTCAGCACCTTGTGAGGGTGTCAGCCTCTCATGCAGATGGTGATGGAGGCAGCTGAAGATGAGAAACCAAGACAGGCTGTGCCAGGGCACTGGGTTCTCACTCTGCCCTGGTTTGGGGGGTTCTTGGAGATACTGGCTTGGGAGATTTGATGGTTATCTGTTGGGGCTGTGGGCTGGAAAATGGAGCTGTTCAGCCAGGAGAAAAGGAGGCTGAAGAGGGATCTCATCAATCCTGATAAACATCTCCAGGGGGTGTCAGGAGGAAGGGGCCAGACTCTTCTCAGCAGTGCCCAGTGACAGGACAAGGGGCAGTGGGCACAAACTGGGGCACAGGAGGCTCAGCCTAAACATGAGGGAAAATTTCTTCACTTTGGGGGTGGCAGAGCCCTGGGCCAGGCTGCCCAGGGAGGGGGTGAAGGCTCCTTCCCTGGGGACATTCCCAACCTGTCAGGACATGTTCCTGTGGGATCTGCTGGAGGTGACCCTGCTCTGGGTGATCTTCAGAGGTCCCTTCCCAACCCCAACACTTGGGCTCTGATCTGAGTGGGACCAGTTGAGTTCCTGCCACCCTGAGGTGGATGAAAGAGTCCCCACCCCATGTCTCAACCAGCCTGTCCCAGCCTGCTCTGGGCTGCTGGTGAGGCTGTTGATTCAGGGTCTGTCTTGTGGTTTGGGGTTGGTTTGGGTGGTTTTTTGTTTACATGAGCTGATGGTTTCTCTGAAACCTGAGGGCCTGCATCTCAGTACTGATCCTTGCCTAGTCATACTCTGTTTTTCAGATAAGATGAAAATGAAATGTCAGTGAAATGAAAATGTCAGTGAAAATGAAATAAGGTGTTACCCCATAGCCTCCAGAATCAGGAAAGCTTGAGGCTTCACTGGTCCAGCCCAGGGAGAGAAATCAATGTCTCCACCTGACCTCATGCACCAGCCTGACTGTGCAAGGTGCTTCCAACCTTCAAAGGAACTTCCTGAGCTGCCAAAACTCAAGTCTAGGTCACAAACCACTGAGTGACTTGCTCAATCTCCACTTTCTCCTTGTCTCTTTCCCCCTGTCTGCAAAGCCAGGCCCTAAGTGCTTACAAAACACTCATGATGAAGGTCTGTGCTGTGCCCAGACCACTGCCTGTCCTGCTGGTCACATTAATTCCTTGTGGCTGTTTGTTCAGTCACTGAAATAGCAACAGGCCTTGTCGTGAGGGTGTAGATACCAATGAAGTACAGAACCTCCACAGGTCTGTGTTTAAGCTTCATATTTGACTGCACTGAAGTGCTTTGCAGCTGGGATGTTCACATGGCTTGTGCTTCTGGAGTGTTTGTGTTGGTGCTGTGTGTGAGAAGGGCCTTTGGCTGCTTTTTAAAGTCTTTTCCTATGAAGAACAGAGCAACTGAAAATGTGGATTAAAAAAACACTGAAGGACAAAGTTCCTGAGATGTCTGTGAGAGAAGAAGCCAAGAGTGTTCCATGTGTGGTAGCACTCTTCTGGGTGGCACCCTAGGCAGGGTTGGGGGGGCTTTTGTTAATTACTCCTCCTTTTGTTAATTATTCCTCCTTTCCTCCAAGCACTGACACTCAGCTGGGGCCCAGCCCAAGGGTAGGGAGTGTCTGTACCTGTTATTTACTTCCACACTGAGGTGAAGACCTACCTAAGTTTCCTGCTGGAGTTCAGTGCCTCTGAGTAAACCTGTCCCACAGTCCAGTACCTGGCACTTCCCAGGCCCCACTCAGTGGGAAATGCTGTCTCTCCTGCAGGTTGTGCTCTGGATTCCCCTGGTCCTGCAGCCTCAAACGATATCCTGGAGGAAACGTACGTAACCACCAGCTCAGCCTGGCTCTGCCATTTCCCTAACAAACGTGGGCTAATGAGAGGGGGCTTGGTGAGGTTTTTCCAGCCTCTGTGTGCAGGGGGCTCCTCTCTCCTGACCCTTGCTGTGCTGTGATGCTCTGCAGCCTGAGACCTGCCTGGTCTGTGTCCCAGAGTGTTGAACACCTCAGCTCCTGCCCTGTCCCAGCCAGACCCTTGGAGCTTGGCTCTGGCACCTCCCCAGGAGGCTGAGGCTGCTCCACACAAGCTGCAGTTTTCACTCAACACTTACATTAGAACTTTAGGCTTAACTGGTGCCCAGCAGTTGCTCTGAGCTTTGCATTTGCCACTCTCCATTAGATCCATTTTTTCTGCCTAAACTTCTATCCCCAGGGAGGGGGGACAGAGCCCCTGGCCCTGGGGAACTGAGCTTTTCTTCCCTCGACAGCCTCTTGTGGAGGCAACACTGGCAAGGACCTGTGGAAAGGAGGGGGAAGAAGGAGCCCAGCTAGTGTTTCAAAAACTGGGGAGGGACAAGCTGGCTGTAAATGGGTTTTGGGAAGGGCAGGGGCAGTAAGAAGTACAGTGGCCTCTGCTCAGAGCAGCACTGAGGGCTTCAGTACCAGGCTGACCTGTGGTGCTGACTCTGGGGCCTCTCACTTGCTTCTAGGTTTGAGAAGGCAATTCTTGAATCCAGCAGGCTGAAGTAAGTATCATTCTGTTTTCATTTCTTTGTTGGAGCCTGTGGGGGGTGAGGGGATGGAAAAGAGTTTTACTCATGTTACTGTCTTTTAAAACAGAAATGTTATAAATCTTGGTTCTTTTTCACTGCAGCATCCGAGTGCCTTTCAGAAGGATCCATTCACTGCCAGTAAGTGAGGGGTCCAGAAACGTGGAGGGATTTGGTGTGTTAAGTGAAAAAGGATTTATGTGAAGTGTTTTTAGTTGGAGATGTTAATTTCCTGGCTACAACAACAGCTGCTGTGGTGCTTAATGAAAACTGTCAAAGCTCCAGCTTGTGAACTCAAAACTCATTCAAGCTGATGAGGTTCCAGCCAGGTGGCTTTGCCACAAGTGCAGCTGGAGCATTTTAGTGCCTGTACCCAGAGGTCAGCATGGCAGACTCCTGCACGTGGCTTGCAACAGTGGGTAGTCAGACACCTGGAAGTCTTTATTAACTCCTGTGTTGCTTAAAAATGTGGTTGGGGGGAGGCTGGATTGCTCCAAACTGAACTGGCACTTGTGTGTGAATGTTGCAGCAAAGCCTCCTGGGGTGCAGTCCTGCCCTGAAGAGAAACCACTCTGAGTCTCTGGAGAGTGAAGCTTTTCAGCTCTTGGAACAAGATGAAAATAAGGAGAATGTAAGTGGTGCTTCTGCTGCCTGCTGTGACCTGGTGCCAGAGCAGGCACTGAGGAAGCTGAATGAACATAGAATCCTGGAAAGGTTTGGGTGGGAAGGGACCTCAGAGCTCATTCAGTCCCACCCCTGCATGGGCAGGGACACCTCCCAGCAGCCCAGGCTGCTCCAAGCCCCATCCAACCTGCCCTTCAACACTGCCAGGGATGGGGCAGCCACAGCTTCCCTGGGCAACCTGGGCCAGGCTCTCCCCACCCTCACAGCACAGAATTTCTTCCTAATATTTCACCTCAATCTCCCCTCATCCAGTGTTAATCCACTCCCCCTTATCCTCTCACTACACACCTTTGTGAAATTAATTTACAGCTGTGGATGTGGTGGAAAAGGCTGCTTCTCCAGCAAGTGGATGTGGTGGAAGAGGCTCCTTCTTCCCTCTGCCAGGCTGCTGTTCAGACATACCCAAGTTTTGCAGAGCTATCCCCAGGGATCCTGCACTGGCAGCTCTGGTTAGAGTGACTGCCTCTGGGTGATACCACGAGGATAAAGTACAATGTTAATTAAAACATCTTCAGTTTGAAAAACATTCACTTTCAGGCTATTCCTGTGGGCAACAGGGAGCTGAAACCCATCGTGTCAGGTAGCTTGAGAAACCTGAAAAGAGAAATAAACCAAACACCCTAAAGAGAGCAGGTGGTCTGGCAACTTGTGCACTCTGTAGTTTTGATGCAGTGATCACTTTGCTCCTTTATTTAATGCAGGAATCATTTGAGTTCAAGAAGCCAACCAAGCCAGCTGCCCGGGGGGCTGTCCATGGGCCTTCCCGGGAGGGAAGAGGTGCTCCTGGGCCAAGGCAGAGCTCTCCAGCTCAGACAGTGAGTACTGCAGACTCCTCATCCTCTGGGGAGCTGGGCAGGTTGGATGGGGCTTGGAGCAACCTGGGCTGGTGGGAGGTGTCCCATGGCAGGGACTGGATAATCTTTAAGGTTTCTCCAACCCAAACCAGTCTGGGGCTCCATGGTCTCTGGGGGTGTCCTGCAGTGCAAAGCAGTGCTGTTAACTCTCTTGTCCCAGTTTTCCATGGGTGAGACCCCCCCGGGCAGGCAGCAGCACCAGCCAGGCTTCCTGCAGCCTGTCCTGCCCTCCCCCGACAGTGAAGATGATGATGGGTTCCTCGAGTTGCTGGATGACCAAGACTTGAAGGTGGGTACAAGGAGAGAGGATGGAACATTCCAAAATTAGCTCTGTTCATTGGCTGCCAACATGTTTGTCTGTGGTGCAGGGCTGTTCCAGCAGTGCAAAATTCACACTGCAAAAAGTTGGGAGACTGGGGAGTCCTAGAAGGTGAATCATGTTTTTCACTCCAAGTGTCTGTTGGGAGATACCTGCTCTTTCAGGCAGTGGGTTCTACTGGGGGTGTGAGCAGCAGGCAAGAACTGCTGCTGCTCCTGTGGGCAGGTGAGATCCTATTGCTAGAGAGAATTACTTGAACACTTGGCATTTTTCTTTATAAAATTGCTGAAAGAGCTAGAGATCATCACAGACTGGGCAAGAACTGCTGCTGCTCCTGTGGGCAGGTGAAATCCTATTGCTAGAGAGAATTACTTGAACATTGGCATTTTTCTTGCTGAAAGAGCTAGAGGTCATCACAGAATCATCACAGACTGGGTTGGATTGGAAAGGACCTTAAAGATCATCTAGTTCCGACCCCCCTGCCATGGGCAGGGACACCCCCCAGCAGCCCAGGCTGCTCCAAGCCCCATCCAACCTGCCCTTCAACCCCCCCAGGGATGGGGCAGCCACAGCTTCCCTGGGCAACCTGGGCCAGGCTCTCCCCACCCTCACAGCCCAGAATTTCTCCCTCCCATCTCAGCTCCAGCTCCCTCTGCCAGCTGGAAACCCTTCCCCCTGCTCCCATCCCTCCCTGCCCTTGTCCCAAGCCCCTCCCCAGCTTTCCTGGAGCCCCTTCAGGCACTGGAAGGTGCTCTAAGGTCTCCCTGGAGCCTTCTCTTCTTCAGGCTGAACACCCCAACTCTCCCAGCCTGTAAATATTTGCTTCCCAGCCACTCAGGCTGTTTCTAACAGCATTTGAAACACTTCAGCCTGTGGAAGAACATCCCTGTTAATCAATGAGCTGCTATAACTTCCCTCCTCCAACATGTCTTGACTCAGCTCTATTATTTCATTGAGTATTTGACTTGTAATTTAGTTGAAGTTCCTGGAGCTGCCCTGATAGCTGAATTCCCCTGGCATGTTTGCCTCAGCTGTGGGTATCCAGGCCCTGCCCCTGCTGCAGCAGGTGAGAAGGGACTTTCTTTGTTCCTCAGAATGACGAGGAGGCGCCATCAGACGTGTCCAGCCTCTGGACTGCACCCCTGGTGATGAGGAGAATGGACCCTCGGGTGAGTTCTGGGAGGGCAGGGGCTGGGACTGTGTCTGGGCAGCAGGTCTCACTGCTGGAACAAGTGCTGGCTCTGATCCTGTATCCCTAAAAACAGCCAAAGCAGATAAGCCCCCTTCCCTGGTATCTGTGTGCCTGGAAGGCTCCCTCAGCCCTGGTGTGTGAATATGGGCATTGACTTTCTTGTCACAAAAAACCCCTCCATAAATGCAGGAAGATCTTGGTTCTCTTCTCAGATCCTTGTTGGAACACCCCAGATCCATCCTGCCCAGGCTCCCCTGCAGCCTGAGCTGCTGCTCACAGCCTGCCAAGGGGCTTCAGACCAGCAGGAAGCCCCTTCATCTCCTGGCAGATTGGCTGCCCCCTGGCATCAAGCACTTCGTGGTGCTTATGGTGCTCCCAGTCTGCCCAGCAAGAAATAAGTGTTACTGGAATTGTGGGTCCTGAGTGTAGGTGCCCCTGTTCACCCCTTGCAGTTGCTGAGCAGTGGGGGTGTCTGTGAAATAACCTGCAGTCCTTTGAGGCTGGCTCAGCTTTTCAGCCCTGAACTTCCCTCCTTCCTTGCAGGCCAAGCGGTGCCGGTTGTTTGGCTCTTCATCTCTGCCCAGTGCTGTGGGAAGAACCACCCAGAAGAGGATGGAGAGATCCCAGGAAGAGAATTCCCCAGGGAAAAGCAAGAAGAGGAAGAGCCTGCCTGGAGCATCTTCTGAGGACTCAGCGGTGGGTGGCTTGGGTCTGGTTTAGTAGCAGGGGGTTGGTTAGGAGAGGATCCAGGAGAGGTGTTGAGCTTGTGAAGGTTAAGGGGGGGCTTCTGCTGGGGCATTGGTGACATTTGTGTCCTGTGGAGGGCTGGGGGTGCTGGGGCAGGGGGAGCTGGGGCAGCAGTTTCTTGGTCCTGAGCTTTCCCTTAACCCACAGGGGAAGGTGGGGACTTGTAGCTCAGGGCTTGGGGTGAACTCTGAGCTCTGTTACGTGGGGGAAAAGGGTCTCTCTGCAGTGTTGGTCACTGACCTGTGTTCCTCCAGAGCCTGAAAATAGTGAAGACACAATCCTCCACAGCAGAGATCGAGAGCATTTTGGACAGTGACCAGAGAGACCTCATTGGAGACTTCTCAAAGGTAATTGGAGTGATTTAAGGCTCAGATTTCATTCCAGTGTTTGACTGGCCTCTCTAGGTAGAGGGAGTCTCAAAGTAGCCCAAGTGAAGGACTTTACATCACAGGTTCAGAGTGCTGGGAGGGGCTGCCAATGAGAAGGGAGCTTTCAGGGGTTGGACACAAAGTGATTTAACTTGTGGTGATTCAGAAAGATCTACAAAATCCCTTCAAGTGCAGGACCCCAAACCAAAATACTTTCCCTGGATTTTAGAATTCTTAGTTTTAACTCCTGGGCTTTACTGAAGAGATTCTTGTCAGCAAAGCATCCGTGTTACAAAACCAAGTGCTGGGCACTGCTCCCACCTTTGTGGCTCACAAATGTTCCCAGCTGGATGCTCTGTCTTCCAGGGTTATTTATTCCACACTGTTGATGGGAAACACCAAGACTTGAAATACATCGACTCGGAAATGGTACGTGCTCCAGTAAGAACAAGTCTTTACTGGGGGGCAAAACCCCACAACATGAAAACATCTCAAAACAACTCAACTCCCTTTTTTGTGTGTGTTTTTTGTTTGTTTGTTCTCAGATTGTGTCTGTGCTGACTGGGAAGTTTGCAAGCTCCATCAAGGAGTGTGTGATCATTGATTGCAGATACCCCTACGAGTATGAAGGGGGACACATCAAGGTGGGTAGGAGCAACGTGGAGTTGCCTGAAGCTGGGAACTGGGGTCACTTGGCACCCTGTGGGGCTGCTCTCCACCCGTGGGTCTCCAAAGCCAGGTGGATGTGTTAGAGCTGAGGGGCCAATTGTCCCCCTGGGCCTGGGATCCTGTTACGCCTCCGCGCTGCGGGAATCTGGGGACACTGAGCTCACACTTAGCTCACAAAGTGACTTCTCCCTTAAAGGAGGGAACGTTCCACTTCCCTTAAATAGAGGAGGGGGCCTGTGGCTTCCAGAGGAAAATGTAAGATTATGTCCAGTGTCCTGATATCTAGGGAAGCTAAAATTAGAATATGAAACTGAATTTAAAGCACCGATTGCAAAGAGCAGATCTTGAGGTTTGCTGCTGGGGCAAGATGGACCACCCTCCTGGGCAGGGTGAAAGGAGAGGAGATGGAAAGGGAAATCGAAGAAGCCACAACCAACAGCTGTTGAAATGGCTGCCTAAATCAAGTCCAGATTACCCAGAGTCAGGGTTAGACTTGTGGTGTTCTGCTCGGGTTGGGAAACTGATCCCCCAAGGCTAGAGAGGGTTTCAGATCTCCTGTAGGAAACTGAAATGAGGAGACAACTTGGAAGGAAGTGGGGAGGTTGGTTCAGGTTCCCCACTCACTGTGAGTGCTGGGGCATGGGTCTGCCTCTACAGGGAGCTGTGAACCTCCACATGGAGGAGGAGGTGGAAGATTACCTGCTGAAGAAGCCGATCCAGCCCTCGGGGAACAAGCGAGTGATCGTCGTGTTCCACTGCGAGTTCTCCTCCGAGCGGGGCCCTCGGATGTGAGTTACACACGTGTGCCCCTGGAGAAGTACTTGCTGATAAGAGCAAAGCTCTCCTGGTGGCACCACTCCCTGTGCTGGCATGGTCCTTGATAGGCCCTTTATCATGAACAGATGTTGGTTGTCACCTCAGGGGGGATGTGACACGGCCTGTGGTCCCAATGGCTGCGTTGAAGTCAGGCTGGAACGCTTGGGGATGGCCAAGGAAATCCAGTTCTCCCAGCCCTGCAGCCAGTGTGGCTCCTCAGCCCGTTCCTGATGGGCAGCAGCTTGCTTCCCTGATGGCAGGAATGGGACTTGTGGGGTGAAGGCTGTTCTGGTGTGTTGCTTGTTGAACTGGGATTGACTGGAGGTTCTTTGCCTGCTCCAGGTGCCGGTTTGTGAGGGAGCGGGACAGGCTGGACAACGAGTACCCCAACCTGCACTACCCTGAGCTCTACGTCCTCAAGGGGGGATACAGGGACTTCTTCCTGAGATGCCGTGTAAGTAACATGTCCCCAGAGTCACCTCTGACACTGGGGAGAGGAGAAATGACAGATAAATAAGAGTCATGGATCTGTAGCCCATCTGACCTCCCCTCGGAGTGGGGAGGGTTTTGCTGGAGGAGCTTTTCCTGCTGCCTCCCCCACCCCTGTACCAGCTGCAGGTCACTCCTGGCACTGAGGGCTCTTCTCAGCCTGTCTTGCTGCCACAGCTGAAAGGTTTCTCCACTTTTCTCAGGAGTGAAATCTAAATCTGGTTTCTGCCCCTTTTATAACAAACTCGAGTTCAAAATGTTGCTTGGAGAGGGAATTCAGGGCTGCTCAGCCTGCAGGGAGGAGGGAAGGGGGGAAGCTTGACAGTGATTGCTGGAAAACAAATGGAAACATGAAATCTTGTGCTAGACTAAAATAGTAACAGAGAAAAACTTGAGCTTTGAGTTTTCAGGCTCCAATTCAGAAGAGAAAAGGCAGCAGTGCCCAGCAGCTCTGCCCAGCAGGGTGGGGATAGGGCTTCTTGGATCACTCAGCACTTCAGTGGCTGCTCCTGCTTTCTCCAGCAGTTTTTTCCTGCTGTTCAGAGACAAGCTGGACTCTGGCCTGTCACATTAGTCCCTCTCAGGCCCTCAGACTTTAGAATATCTCTTGGATCCCTTCCTGGAGAAGGGAGATGTTTGGCCTCTCCATGGCCAGGTGGGGCTGTGTGTGGTTCCCAGGGAGATGTTGGGTCTCCCAGCACTTGGGCTGCTGTGGGGGTGTTGGTTTTGGACTCTCTCTGTGCTCTGCTGGTTCCCCTGTGGTGATGGGAGCCTCTTTTGGGCGCCTGGGTGTCCTGTCCCGTGGTGGCAGGACCCGGGGCCTCAAGGTGGCAGCACAGAACAGCCTTTAAGGCCCGTCTGGAGCCAGGGACTGGCCCGTCCCCTGGGACTGGATTCCAGTCTGTGCCGTTCCAAGGTGAACACGGGGTGGGCTCAGCTTGTGTTGGTGTCTGCCAGAAGGTTGGGGTGAGAGCTGTGCACACAGGGCTGGGAGGGCTTTTCATCACTGCTGCTTCCACAGTAGCTGTGATCATAGAACCATGGAATGGTTTGGGGTTGGAAGGGACTTTAAAGCTCATCCAGTCCCACCCCCTGCGTGGGCAGGGACATCTCCCACCAGCCCTTGTCCCAAGCCCCTCTCCAGCTTTCCTGGAGCCCCTTCAGGCACTGGAAGGTGCTCTAAGGTCTCCCTGGAGCCTTCTCCCCTTCAGGGGTTCCCAGGGAGATGTTGGGTCTCCCAGCACTTGGGCTGCTGTGGGGGTGTTGGTTTTGGACTCTCTCTGTGCTCTGCTGGTTCCCCTGTGGTGATGGGAGCCTCTTTTGGGCGCCTGGGTGTCCTGTCCCGTGGTGGCAGGACCCGGGGCCTCAAGGTGGCAGCACAGAACAGCCTTTAAGGCCCGTCTGGAGCCAGGGACTGGCCCGTCCCCTGGGACTGGATTCCAGTCTGTGCCGTTCCAAGGTGAACACGGGGTGGGCTCAGCTTGTGTTGGTGTCTGCCAGAAGGTTGGGGTGAGAGCTGTGCACACAGGGCTGGGAGGGCTTTTCATCACTGCTGCTTCCACAGTAGCTGTGATCATAGAACCATGGAATGGTTTGGGGTTGGAAGGGACTTTAAAGCTCATCCAGTCCCACCCCCTGCGTGGGCAGGGACATCTCCCACCAGCCCTTGTCCCAAGCCCCTCTCCAGCTTTCCTGGAGCCCCTTCAGGCACTGGAAGGTGCTCTAAGGTCTCCCTGGAGCCTTCTCCCCTTCAGGCTGAACAGCCCAGCTCTCCCAGCCTGTCCCCTAGGAGAGGTGCTCAGAACAAGCTCAGTAACTGCTCCTGAGTGTCTGGTGTGAAGCCCCCCGTGGTGTGGGGCTCTGGCTGTGCTTGCTCTGCTGCTGCTTGCTCAGGTGGTTCTGCCAGTGAGTCTCCAAGAGCTCCTGGGACCTGCTGGAAGTGAGAGCAGCTCCTCTCTCTCCCCAGAGCTTCTGCGAGCCCCAGAGCTACCGCCCCATGCACCACGAGGACTTCAAGGAGGATCTGAAAAGGTTCCGCACCAAGAGCCGCACCTGGGCCGGCGAGAGGAGCAAGCGGGAGCTCTACAGTCGCCTGAAGAAGCTCTAAGGGCTGGAGAAGCCAAGACTGCCCGTGCTGGTGGGGGGAGAGCTGCCTGTTCCCTGCTGGTGGGGCTGGGCAACCAGCTCTCTCCTCCTCTTTTCCTGGGAACACCGTGGGACTTGTGGCTCTGCTTGATCCCGGCAACCTGGACGCTGGCTGGGAGCTGCATCTTCCTTGTGGCAGCAGCTCCTGGTGTCTGTGACACCCCCAGAGTGCCCAGGGAAGGGTGGGGAGAGGGGCCACCCACGGGGGCTCAGCTGGGGTGTGGTGCAAGCAGCCAGGAAATCTTAGTGCCTGTTTTTTTTTTTTCCTTGGGTTTTGTTTTTTTTAAAATGCTTTATTTTATTTAAATACAGTCAAACAAAGCCAATGGCCCCTGCAGTTGGATCATCTGGACTGGACTCAGCTTTGTCTCTGCTGAAGGGCAGAGCTGGTGGGGCATGGGGGGGGGGTCATTCTTTTTCTCAGCTGCAGCTTTAGGTCTGTGTTGGTAGCATGAGGTGTCGTGGTGAAGTGAAATAGGAAATAATTCCTTCCAGCTAGGGGTTCCCACCTCCCTGACCTCCTGTGTCTTGCCTTGGGAAGCCTCTCAAAGGCAAAGGGGAATTTGCTTATTGTATGTTATCATGTTGATGGTGTTTGCTTTAGATTGCTTTACTTGATAGACATTCTGGGTTTAGCTGCTGCTTTAGTTCTAGAGGAGCTGGTGTTTCAAAGGAGGGAGAACTGGGAATGGAGGGTCCTTCAGGATGAGGCTGTTCCTGGTGATCCCTGAGGCACCAGCTGGCAAGGCTGTTCCCAGGTTTCTCCACAGCAGCAATTTTCTGTCACTGCTTCTCCAGCTGAGGCTGCTCATGATTGTCATTCACTGTCTCCAGAAAAGAGTCACTGACCATCATGGGAGGTTGCTCTGACCCTGCCCTGGCTTTGACTCCAGCCTCTTCAGCAGCTTAAGCACCTTCTGCCAGGAAGATGGTTTCCCTCTTGCAGGAAGAGGGTGCCAGTCCTAAAACTGCTTCACTGACTTTTTTGTGTCAGAGAAGACCAGATGCATGAACCTTCCAGCAGCCCAGTGGTCACACACCAGGCTCTGGGGGTGGCTGTAGCCTCCTCTTCCTCACACACCAACTTCTTGGTGAAATGTGCTCCTGGGGTGGGTGGGGGCAGCCTGGGAACAGCTGGAAGCTCTTGCCTTGCTCTGCACATTATCCTGCCTCCCCTCCTGTCTATGTCAAAAAAAAAACCAAACCACCCTGTACTGGAGATGCCTTGTGTGGAATTTTTAACTTGATGGGGTTGGTGTTTTTTTTTTTAAAAAAAGTGTTTCTTAAAACCTGCTGTTAATCCTGTTGAGAAGTGAAAGGATAAACTTGGAACTTTCTCGTTTAAAAAAAAATATACCAATAAATGGGCTGTTGCTGCCTCCCCTCAGAGCTGGACACCCTGCCTGGGAAGGTGTATAGATGAGAAAGGGGGAGTTAAAAACCTCCCACACCCCAGGGGGAAGGTTTGATCCCCTGGGGAAAGGGGGTGAGGGGGGGTGGGAGGGGAGCAGGGACAGCAACGGGGTGAAACCAAAGGGCTTTTTTGACACAAACCTCATTGATTCAGGTGAGAAGTGACCAGCTCAGCAACACAGCAGGGGCTGAGTGTCCCAGGGTAACTACATGAGCAAATCCTGCCACGTGTGCATTTGTCTCAGCAGCTGTGATCAGAAAAAGCAGATGGGGACTGAGGGAGCTGTGATGCTCCTCATGGAGCTGCAGCAAAGCCAGGACAGCAGCCCCTGCCTTTGCAGCTGCACTTCCTGCCAAAGCCCCTCACTGATCCCAGGCTCCCTGATACTCGGGAAACCGGGTGTGATCTGGAATTTGTGGGTCCCTGGGGCCCAGCAGGCCCAGGGGATGTGAGCTCTGAGGGAGCTGCTGGGCCTGTGACCCTGTAGAGGTGGGAACTGGACTCTTTGTTTCCCACCCCCACCTTGTTCTGCCTGTGCTGGGGGTGGGAAGGCTGGGAGGTGATTCCTGTTTCACAGAGCAGTGGGGTTGGGAGGGACCTCTGCAAATCATCCAGTCCCACCCTCTGCCAGAGCAGGGTCACCCAGGGCAGGTCCCACAGGAGCATGTCCAGGCAGGTTGGGGATGTCTCCAGGGACAGAGACTCCACAGCCTGTCCCAGGGCTCCCTTACCCACTGCAATGTTTCCCAGCAGGATCTGTGCCAGATCAGCCCACAGTGGTACAGATGACTGCAGGCCAAGAGCAAAAAAAGCATTTACAACCCAAACAGTTGGTTTAACTTGTCTGGTGGTAGAAGGTGCAGTGGTGAACTGCTCAGCATCACAGGCCAGGGCTTGGAAAGAGCCCCAGGGTGGCAATGCCTGGTTGTCCTGCCCTGTGCTTCTTGCTTGTTGCTGTGAGTGGTGCAAATCAACATCACTCCTTCCTGTGAGCTGCAGGACTGGGAGCAGTGGGAGGCAGGAGGGGTTTCTGACCCCCTGGGCAGAGCTGGGTGCTCTTTGTGTCCCTGGAGCTGGGTGAGAGCTGCTCAGAGCTGGTGCAGGGGCTGGGGAGGTGGCAGGGATGGGCAGAGCCCAGCTCAGCCTCCTCTGGGCTATTCCCAGGCTGATGGGGCTAAATTCCCCTTGGGGCTTGGGAAGAGCAGGGCTGGAACCTTCTGAATTTCATCTGCATTCCCATCCTACCGAGGAGAGCTGCTGCTCAGGGTGGGATGGGGATCCTGGCTGGTTTCCCTGGGGAGCAGCTGGGAGGGCTGCCCTGCTGGGGCTGTTCACACCTTCCGCAGGAGGTGTGGGGCTGAGGTTGTGCCCAGCCAAGGCCTCTGCACACAAAACTCCCCTCTGCTCACAGCAAAGTCACTTCAAATCTACTGGAGGTTCAAGCAGAGAATTTGGGTGGGGTGTTTTGTTGTTTTTTTCCCCCCTTCCCTCCATCTGTCATCCTTAAAAACTGATGTTGGAAGCAGCTTATGGCTTCATCAGCTCCTGCCCCAGCTCTGGGTGCTGCTGAGCTTGGTCTTGTCCTTCTTGTTGCTTTGCCTTCCGTGCCCTGAGAGGTCACTTGTGCTCTTTCTTACCTCACAGGGCTTGTGGCTGGTGGAAAGGCAAAGGGCCAGCAGCCCTGCAGGTGCCAGCAGCTCCTCCTGGGGACACAGGAATGGGTGCTGGACATCTCTCCACTGTGGCTCTTCAGCTGCTGCCACGGGAAGAGGGAAAAGGTTTTTGGCTAAAACCATCGAACTGGGCAGCCCCCCTGGCTGGAAACCCTTCTGCAGCTTTTCAAGCAATCCTGGCTTTGCCTTCTGTTCTCACTGGTCGTTCTTTTTTTTTGCCCAGGAGAGCTGTGTGGGGCTCTGCCCTGGCCTCTGGGAACTCCCTCTCTGCCCCAGCACAGCCCAACATCACTTTTTCTGTAGGTTTTTGGCAAGTGAAACTGCTCCCAGGCTGTGCCAGGCCAGGAGGAATCAGCTCAGCTTTTGATAACTGCTGGATCCTGGGCTGTGTCACCTGCAGTGGGACCAGCAGGGCCAGGGAGGGGATTGTCCCCTCTGCTCTGCTCTGCTGAGACCCCCCTGCAGGGCTGGGAACAGCTCTGGGGTCCCCAACACAAGGACATGGAGCTGTTGGAGAGAGGCCAGAGGAAGCCCTGGAGATGCTGGGAGGGCTGGAGCAGCTCTGGAGCCAGGCTGGGAGAGTTGGGGTGTTCAGCCTGGAGAAGAGAAGGCTCCAGGGAGACCTGAGAGCAGCTTCCAGTACTTAGAGGGGGCTGGTAAGAGAGATGGGGAGAAACTTTTTACCAGGGCCTGTAGCAACAGGACAAGGGGTGATGGTTTTAAACTGAATGATTAGGAGGGGAGATTCAGACTAGATATGAGGAAGAAATTTTTTAAACTGAGGGTGGGGAGACCCTGGCTCAGGTTACCCAGAGAGGCAGGAGATCCCTGGAAACATTCAGGGTCAGGTTGGATGGGGCTCTGAGCAACCTGGTCTGGTTGAAGATGTCCCTGCTCACTGCAGGGGTTGGACTGGATGGCCTTGAAATGTCCCTTCCCACCCAAACCAGGCTATGGGTCTATGGCTCTGTGTTCCTCAGGGTGGTGAAAGGACAGAGCAGGATGCTCCCTGAGGGCCCCAGTGCTGCTGCACAGAGGCAGAGGGGTTCAAACCCAACCAGCTCCTGCTGGTTTGTGAGTGGATGTTCCCAGGAGCAGCTGGGAGGGTGACCCCCCAGAGCTGGGGGGTCTGGGGGTTTGGCAGGGAGAAGCAACAGGAGGAGTCAGCTCTGCTGACAATCCAGGCTGTCCCTCGTGGGGTCGATGCTTTTTGGAGGAGATTCATGTGGCTTTGCTGGGCAGAAGCTGCTTTGTTAAGAAAACCATTGGCTTCTTGGCTTGGCAATGGCTGGTGGTGCCACGTGTGGCTCAGCTGTCCCCTGGAGGGCTGGTTTGTGGGTGGCAGTGCCCAGAATTCCTGGAAACCCTGGTGCCAGGGTTTGGCCAGGCTGCCATGTGGCTTTCCTTTCAGCTGGAGCTGCTCCCTGGGGCTGTTCTGGGGCACAACCCAGTGCCCTGTGAGCTCCTCTCCTGCCCGGGGTGACCCTGCTGTGTCCCCAGGCCCCCAGGAGGGCATCCTGCTGTCACCAAAAGCCCTGTGTCCCCTGCCCCCTTTGGGCAGGGTTACAGCCCATCACTGGGGAGGGGCAGAGGGCAGCCCCAGCCCAGCTCTGCCCCAGTGCCTCCAGTTCCCCAGGAATGGGGGAATGGGGGCAGTTCAGCCCCAGGGAGCAGAGCCCGTGGCCTCCCCTGGGGCAGGAGCAGGGGCAGGAAGGTCCTTGGTAGAGGTCACAGCTGCAGGTGGGGCTGGAAAGGAACCTCAGCTCCTGCTGCAGCCAATGTCACCCTGTCCTGCTGCTGCCACCCTGTCCCGCTGCAGCCACTGCC